TAACTGTATGGTGTACATATAATTTGACAATGAAAGAATGATATGAAGTCAGATAACTTGTTTTTCATTCTTCAGTTTTCTTCCTGTTTTTAAAAATTATGTTAGTCAATCTCAAATAAAAAAAGCAAAAATGTTATTGATCTTTTCCAAGTTACAGTCTGCTCAATAAATGTAATAAATCACATGTGCCTGTTCCTTTTGGAAAAGAAAAAACACCCTCAGAGACCACACAGAAAGGCATTTTGACAAGAATGCCTTTGAGCATTCCAGTTATGGGGAGGAAAAGGGGGATAGTGTGAATATTGTACTTTTACCTTGGTATTGTTGTGGGAAAAAACCTATCAAAAGTGTCCTCCAGTGCCTCTGGAAGCACGCCAGTGTTTCACAATAACTGGATTTGGCTTTGCATCATTCTACTGCAGAAACAAATCCTATTTCATTTATGGATGGTTGGTGTCCCCTCCCCCATATTTACTTTTGTCCAACAGTCTCCTGTGCAGCTACACCAGCTAATTCTCCAAATCTAAAATTCAAGAAAATGGGTGTCAGCTAACTTCCTACTCATATGTAAACCAGCTGAATTCAGCCAGTTCTTATTGAGCAAAATGCTAGCACTGTGTTAGGAGCTGTGGAGGATACAAAAGAAACATATGACACTGTTCCTGACCTGTTAAGCAGATCAATTCTTCAATGAGTCTGGTTTGACAAACCTCTTAGAAAACATAACAAAGGATGCAAGCAATACATTACAGGGACTGGGGTAGGCAGGGGAGTAGAAGAATCCTTTATTCCACTCTGCTTCTTGATTCTCATCTACATCTACCAATCACCCAGCTTCCTTATAACTTAAAGAAATCCATGAAAGCTACCATAAGGAGAGCTCCTAATGTCCAACCAGGATGCTGGCTTTATCCTTGGTCAAGGTAAGAGATTCATGGTCAAGTTTTACTTGGGTAGAAGGTTTGACCAGTTACATGAGACTTAGACAAAGACATGAGACAGGCAAAGAACTGAATAAGGGGAGAGAAGAGCAGGGTAGAGAATTTTTCTGGTGAGTTGAAACAATAATAGGAAAGTAAAGAGTTTTTGGAGGGGAGGTAGGGAAAGAGGAAGAAGGTGGTAAGCAGAATTAGAAATATTGGGCATCCAATGGAAACACTGAAACTTTAAAGGGCTGAAGGCTATGGTAAATGTATAAAAGGTCAGGTGCAACAGGCTGGGGAAAAAGCTGAAGGTTAGAGGCAATGAGGTGGGCCTGGTGATGAGAATGAGATGAACTGAAGGGAAGGTGTTCTTCACAATTCCTAGACCAGAAAAAACGTGTCTAGGGTACAAGTATTTAAGTGAATTAGTTTTGCTATACATTCAGACCCCTAAATAAACTATTTGCCTATACTCTGATGGCAGAAAGTGAAGAGGAATTAAGAAGCCTCTTGATGAGGGTGAAAGAGGTGAGTGTCAAAGCTGGCTTGAAGCTCAACATCAAAAGAACTAGATCTTAGCAACCGGTCCCATCACTTCTTGGCAAACAGAGGGAGAAGATTTATATTCTTGGTCTCAAAGATCACTGCAGAAGACAACTGCAGCCATGAAATTAAAAGGTATTTGATCGTTGGAAGAAAAACTATATCAAAAATGGATAGCATACTAAAAAGCAGAGACATCACCTTCCCAACAAAGGTCCATATAGTCAAAGTTATGGTTTTTCTAGTAGCAATGTATGGCTATGAGAGTTGAACTATAAGGAAAGCTGAACACTATGGAAGCAATGCCTTCAATTAAGCTGAAGCTAAACACTTTGGTCACATAATGAGAAGATGGGATAGACCCTGATGTTGGGAAAGATTGAAGGCAAAAGGAAAAGGGGATGTCAGAGGATGAAATATATAGACAGTGCCATGGAAACAATGAAATGAAACTGCACAGACTTAGAGAGATAGTAGTGGACAGAAGGGTCTGGTGTGCTATGGTCCATAGGGTCACGAAGAGTCAGACACTGCTACACAACTGAACACCAAATACCTACTGATCAATGTCACCTCTCCCCAGCAGATTTACATGTGGACTAGAGGGAAGTGAGAGAAAAAATTTGAGTAAAACTGTAGTTCGGATTAAATCACTTCCATCTTATAGACATAACTAAGGCAGCATGGTATAGTAGGATGAGCAGGACATAGAGTCAGAGGATGTAAGTTTAAACTGTAGCTCCACCAAGTGACTTACTACTTGTATGATATGGGAAACTTACTTCACTTCCCCGTTTCACACTCCAGTTTCCTCAGCTATAAAATGGAATGGGACTAAAAAAACTTTGAGATCCCTTCCAGCTCTATGTCTATGTATGATTTATGATTCTACGATCTCTTTGGGCCTCAAATTCTTTATCTGTAAAATGATGACATCTGAAGTCTCATCCAACTCGAAATCTATGATCTAATATCTAATATAGCACACCAACTGACCTTAATATTCCAGACTTTCTTGCTTGTCCCAAAGTTGTTTTTCTTATTTAGAATTCAGGTTTCTTCCAATTCTAAACTTCCAAAGGGCCTTGCATATAATCAGCTCTCAAAAAAAGCTCTATTGAATGAATTCTATAATTTATATAATTATATGTTGTAATCTTTCTACTTTCACTCAAATGAAAAAGTATTAATACATTGGGTTAATTAGATGAAACCAATTTTCATGTTAATCAACAAATCACTTTCTATCACCAAAAAAAATCTCTATTTTGACAATTACAACTTGTGCCCTTTTTATTTATACAGTGAAAGAAAATTAACAGAATATAAGTTTTTTGAAGCATTTCAGAGTTGCTACCTTCTCATGTAAAACTGAAATTATGTTCATAAAAATCCAAAGTTTGGAAAGCTCTTAAAAGAGAATTAAATACAATATCCTTTTACTAATGAACAAACTAAGCCCTGAGAAGTTATAGGGACCTACCCATGGTCACAGAGTTAATTAACAGCACAGGTAAAACTACAACTCAGCTATACTGATTCTACATCCCTTGCTCTTTGTACTAAACCGTAATGCCATCTCAGATTAATCTATAAATCAGTGGAAGAACATTAGGTCACACATAGAATTAATAGAAAGTAAGTTTCTTACGTATTTGTGTTACTGTGAATGAAATTCTTTTTAGAATATTGCCTACAGCTCACCTTGTATGGCGTTTAAATTAAAAATTTTCCCATTTCCCATTTCTTGTAGGTAAATAAAACCCATATTCTCCATTGAACTGGCACATAAAATGCTAAATTTCTTGCTAAGCAAATTCTTTACATTTTGATTTGTCCAATTAATGGCTTACATATTCCCACAACTTGCTTCTTCAAGTATAGTAGCTATGGTACTTTTGAAAGAAATAGAATTCAAAATAGGGCATCCAATAGATCACCTTAAGCTTTCTTTCCTCATTAAAAAGAAAAGAGATAGAAAAGTAACTAATGCCATTTGAAGACTGTCATCTTAACCCCAAACCTTCACATATATGTGCCTCGTATTTGAGCAGAACTTTTTCATCCTAAATCACTTTCCCAGACATGCTTCACAATCCACCTCACCAACTACCCAATGATTCTTGACTCTCTTCAGGTATGAGTTTGTCACCATGTTTATCTAAGAAAAACAATCAGAGTTTACTTTGACATAACAGGTACAAACTACCACATCTTAATAATACAGATTCATACACACACACACACACACACACACACACACACACACACCCATGCTGAAAATCAGTTGTTCTCGAAAATGAAAGTTTATATTCTAAAATTTCAGGACTAAAAAAGGTTATCTATAAGAACTCTTAATGTGAAAAATATTTCATAAAAGTCAAAGATAGATTTAAGCTGTCTAAAAAGCACCTGTCAAAAAATTAAAATACATCTTTGTATACAGAAAAAAAATCATTATAAATAACAGTACTGAGTATAGCATATAAGTCTCCCATTCAACTCTGAAGATTAGCTGAGTCTTTTTGAACTTTACACATTTTTCACCTGGGAAAACACTTCAGAATAAGAAAGTAAAAAAGAAGTGGTTTGCATTCTTTTGGGTAGCATCAAAATCTAAATAGTGTGGTGATACATCACTCTTTTTTTAAAACACCCAAATATTTAACAAATTTCCCCATGAATTCATCTGAATGTTTTCTGCTTTTTTTCCCCCACCTCTCTGAACAACATCACTGAACAGGAAGCACATTGTTTTGTTGTTTAATATTAGTGACAGATGGAGGAATAAGCACACCAATCACGTTTCATTTTCAATGTTTTTAAGGCATCCTTAGCATACAAAAGGTATGTTTTTTCAAGTGATACACCATATTATCCCTTCATCTACACATCACTAAGCAGAAATGTCCCCAAGTAATGAAACTACCTGCATCTGGCTGAATATTTCCTTAAAAGCAAAATGCTTAAGCACACAAGATATATAAAGAATCTCTCTTAAAGACATTTTAGAAACAGATGGTAAGGAAGCAAAAGTATGTTTCTATTCTCATTTTTCAAGAGCATAGTGAACTTTCTTAGGAGGTTATGAAATAGAAGATAGGGATAAGGATATCCTCTGTGGTCCTACTTGGCTACCCCTCAACAATATGGTTATGCAAGCGTGGCCATAATCCTACTGACCAATAGGGACTCGCTAGTAATCATGTCAGGGGCAGACACCATATCTTATCTAAATGTGGTATCTTTCCTCCCCCATACACATATTTCTTGCCAGGGTGCTCTGCAAATAGTAGGTTCTTAATAAATATTTGTTAAATTGAATTGGCAAAGGAGTTGGCTCTTTTTCCCCCTGTGACTTCAGGAAGCTTCTTTCCTAACCCCAGCTTCTGGTGCCTACATAAAAAAAGTTATCAGATCTCGGAACCTATGTTCTCTGTTCAATTTAAGCCCCAGGAAACGGGTTAGTAAGAGACTTTCTCCCAGTTCCCTTGAAAAGTTTGGCCTACAGCAAGGACCGGATTTAAGATTTACCTGCTCTGGTCCCAGTTGGCTGCGAAGAGGACTAGGATCTTCCTGCCATAGTGGTCAAGATTGGCTAGTCCTCCAGGAAAGCCATCTTTCAGAGCCTGCTTGATGCCAGGATCAGTAGCCTTAAAGCTTTTAAACATGTCCAGATTCTGCTGTCTGTATTCAAAGTACTGGGCCAGGAGGCGGAAAGCCTCAAAGTGATGAAACTTCCTGGCCCGCAGGAAGCGTAAGATGAAGGCATCATCCGTGCGAAGGAAACCAATATCTGGCCTGGTGATGACCATATCCCGCACCTCCTGAATGTCCTGGTGCAAGGTGTCTGGGTTCTCATTCAGCTCCAGTCGGGCTTTTTCCAGTGTCTCTGGAGATAGTCCAGCTTGTAAATGAGTCATTGTGCTCCAGTTCCTTGTCTCCCCTTGTTCCTTGTTGACCAGTCTGGCCTCTGCCACACACCCTACCTACACCCTTGAACCCTGGCTGCTACTACTGCTGCCTCCCTTTTCTTTACGGGAAACAATTTGTCTTCCTATCAAATGTGGTACCCTGTTGCTCCAGCTTATCTTCCACCACACTCCGCCCCCCCCAAAAAAAGTCCCACTCCTGCTCCCTTCCCTTTAGGGGATGTGTCCCCCTGTAGTTTCCAGCACTCTTCTACTCCCTCCGACTATTCTAAACAGACCTTGCTATCTTGCTGCTGTCTTCCTCTCTCTTCTCTTCTAAGACATAATAAAAACAACCCCCACGCACATCTCAGACCCAGTACTCTGGTGCTGCTGCAGTCCCCACAGAAGGAAGAGCCCTAGATAAAGATGGGAATTCTGATTAATAATAAAGTGGCTTTTCAGCAGAGTTCCGGGGCGGGGAGAGAGAATCTTTAGAGGGTGAAAAAAAAAAGGAAAAAAAAGAGGAGGGGGAGGGAGCCTACTTATCTCTTTGCTTATTCAAAGATATATCTTTTTTGTCATTTCATTTAAAAAAAAAGCTATAGGTTTGTATTTTAAAATTCCTTTGATCCAAGTAGAGGGATCCGGTAAAGCTGATTATCTCCCCCTCTCCCTTTGGTATACAGTGATCTCATACGGTACCAGCAAAATTTCGGTGGTGGTGGCGGTGGCAGCAGCAGCAGCGTGGGTTCCCCCTCCACTACCTCCTCCTCTCAGCCTTTTATCTAAGCCGCCTATCCCCCACTCCCGCCTAGGTGGGATCTCTCCCCAGTGAATCTACATGGTCTCAGGGTGGAGGAGAAAGAAGAAAAGGAATGAAAGGGGAAAAAGAAAACAGAAATGAATATGGCTAGGCAATAAACCCCCCAAAAAAATGAAAAGAGGGGAAAGAGCAGCACCCAGGGCCTCTACCCTACCAGCAAAAAGGGGAGGTGGGGGAGAAGCGCTTAAGCAATGCAGCACTCCCCGGCATCCATCAGGAGCAGCGGCAGCGGCAGGGATGGAGATGGAGAGAGCTAGGGATAGAAGCGGCGGCGGCAGGAGCAGAAGAAACGAGGAGGAGCTGCGGCGCCGAAGCCGGGGCCAAGGACACGCACGGGAGGAGTCGCCGCGGGAACATATTACCCTCGATGGGTTCCCTTGCAGCCCGGCTGCCTCTCGGAGACAGCGGGTGGGTGGCGAAGAGGGCGGGGGAGGGGCTCTCGAGGAGCAGTGCTAAGGATGCTGATGCTACTGCTGCTGATGCTACTGCTGCTGATGCTGCCGTCCTCTCTCAGCCCAGCCAGGCGCGCTCTCAGGTGGGGCGCTGGGAAGGAGCAGCGCATCTGTGGCACCAGAGATCGAGTGGTCCGCTCTGTGCCGCCGCCGCCTCCTTTGTGCTCCCTCTCCTGGACCAACCCGGGGCTTCTGGGGTGGAGAGAAAGCTGCGACCGCGCGCGCCGGGGCGCCTGCCTCGTGTTCCGGGCGCTGCTACTTGCTGGCAGGTTTGCGTCAGACTGGGCTCCTGGTCCTGCTTCTGCTGCTGGCAACTGCTGCTTCTAAAACAAGACTCCGACTCAGCCCAACTCTCCTTGCCCAGTACTGCTGTTGCTGCAACATACGCACTCACTCTGGCACATAGTCCTTTCCTTCCCCCTCCTCCCACCAAACCACAACACACACACACACACACACACACACACACACACACACACACACACGCACTACAGTGTTGTTGTTGTTTTTCTCCAGAAGACAGAAGAATTTTAAGAAGCATTCACAAATTCCTAGCCCCCAACTTTAATCATGCACCTGCTTCCCTCTGCACGCCAGTAGGCCACTTGCAATAGCCCTCGGGCAAGCGAGGGTCGCCTATCAGCTACTTCCCCTCCCTTCTTCCCTACCCTTTGTGTGCTAGAGCTCAAGCTTAGGGGAGTGACTTGGTGTGTAGATGAGAAATCATATTTCTTGACACATATTTCTTAGTTCCTGTTGGAGTTGATTGGGCCGGGGGCAGGGGTAGGGGGGAGAGAGTTAAGTACCTTCAGCCCCTCAGTGCCATTATGGTTGGAACTATTTAATTTAGTACTAACCAAGGTAATAGCTGACATTTCTATAAAGCCTTAAGTCCCACAACAACACCAAGTAGAGGGAAATGCAAATATTATACAGTAACCCCCCTTTATAGATAAGGAGACAGATAAGTGATTTGCCAAGGGTCACACAGTAATAAGTGTCTGAGTCTGGATTCAAACCTAGGTTTTCCACACACAACCTCAGCACTTTTCATTACCACAATGCTGCCTCTCAAAATATATTACGATACACAGTTGCCAAAAAAAAAAAAACACAAAAGCTGTATAAATAGCCAATATTTCAACCATATGGCCTGACTGCTAACCTGTTTTTTAAGGAGATGGAAATAGGGCACGGGGAAAATAGTGAGTGTTTTGAGAAAGACCAGCCTCAAACTCATGGATTTATCATTAGTTTACCTTATATTTATTTCATAGCCAACCTATAGGATTGGCAAAGCTATGAGACACCTCAATCTTTGCCTCAACTTGACAAATCTGTCTAGTGGGAATAATGGCAAGTAACCAGGACGTCAATGAGCACTGATGTTTAATTAAAATAAGCCAAGGGGGGGGGTTGTTTATTTTAAAAGCACAATTTAGAGTGCATAAGCATTATTATTAACCATCATAGGCAAATTAACAGGGTGATACAATAAAATGTGGAGTTGAAGAAGAGAGTTTTTAATTATTATTTTTAAAATTCCATTATAAATCCCTGATTTTAGGCATTGAAATTTCTGGGTTTTATAAAGTGATAGTGATGCTGGTGGTTGGAATGTAGGAAGGCAGAGAAAGAGAGAGGTTCTGTCTTTTCAAACAGGCTGGAGCTGGGAGAAAGGAGAAATTGCAGATATGTGTATGATCCTCCTAATGTAATTATATCCCAAATAACATTCTGCATGCAGCCAGATAATGAAGTTTCAAGAATTTGACTCTCATTTAATAAAATATGAATAATGTGTCTCTATATGTCCCCAATACATAGCATAAAGTCTTGCACATAATAGGCACTTAAAATACTTATTAAATTTAATTCAATTCCAGATATTTCCAAAATAGAGCTCCAGAAAGACTCTTCCCTTCCATCAGTTGGTACAGCATCTTCATTTAATTACAAATTGCTTTATTGGATCCTTATCATCTATAAAGCAGTAAAGCACTCTTTCTTTTAAAAAAAATGAATTCAACACTTTAAAAATGGAGTTTCTGGGAAAATTAGATTTATGTATCCAGAGCCATCTTGATAAACCATATAACTTAAATTTTTTCCTCTATCTTAATAGCAATGAAAAGGATTGCTTCCAATGCAGTTAAATGTAGGATACTGATGGTGTTGTATAAATTATTTATTGTGCACACGGATTTTGCTCTATGAAACAGTAGGGGTGGTAGAGTAAATCCATTATGTAAATCTAAGAATATTTTTCACTTCACTTATACACTGTTGTGCTTTACTTAGATGTCCTTATCTTTACTTTCATCTGCATTTTGTACATTAGAAAATCAGTTCCAAAACTGGAATGAGCACAAAAATATGTGAAAAAATTAAGCCAATGTAGTTACCAAGATGCCATCAGAGTACTTAGTTCTTATTTTATATTAATTTATTTCCCAAAGATAACACAATAATGTTAGAACTGGAATATAAGAATTCATTAACAAAAACAAAGCTTTAATTAAAAACATATGTAAAAGTAATTAAAAACCAAAGTTTTTAGTGACACCATATAACCTGAATGTTGACTCATGTCTCTATTGGAAATGGAGAGAATAATTAATGCAAATTTAAAGGAAAAGTTAAATGTGCAAAGTCATTTGAACTCAATTCCAAATTCCCATGTTATTGACAAGCACAAATTATTTAAAGTAACATAACTCAAATTTTTCATATCTAATTAGAGAAGACTCATATGAAAATTAAAATAACTTTCAACAATTGTAGTTCTACCTTGCTATATAGGTATTGATGAAATATTCATTAGCCAATTGCTTTTTAAGTCTGACTATACAGTTTCTACTCAGGCAAAATTTGATTTTATTCATTTTTGTTATCGACAGAGGAAGAACTTTAAAATCGAGCCCAGTAAACCTGCATCAGAAGAACTACCATATGTAAATTGGATTCATCAAAACTACATTATAACAAAGCCATCTCAGGTATCTGCAGAGCTATCAATTCAACATCTCTCAGAATACAAAAATCTTTCTCCATACAAATTAGCATCTCTGCAAAAACAAGTCTGCAACTATTTCATGAAGTATTTTTAATCTTTTTTTTTAATCTATTGGTTCTATTATTCAAAGATAACCTGGCTAAGTGATATTGCCTTGATACACAGCTTTCTACTTTTTCATATCTGGGTTGTAAAAAATAAAATTACCTCTCTAAAATACTGTTTTCTCTGTGTGGTTTCCCAGTTTAAGAGCCTACAATGGCAACATGGTTTAGTGGAAAGAATATCCCACTTAGACTGTGGAAACTGTGTACAAATCTCAGCTCTCACACCTCTTAGCTGTATGACATGTCAGTCTCTGGGATCAGTTTCCTCATCTGTAAAATAAGAGAGATAATACTGGCACTATGTGAGGGAAATGCTTCATAACACTTTAAAAAATTATTAAAAATATGAATTATTTTTTGTAATTCTTCTGCCTATCTTTTGAGGTCCTCTACAATTTGGTCTCACCTTATATGACCACACTTCTTTTTCACCAATCCCCAAACCGTACCCTACAATTCATGATAACAAGTCTCCTCAACATGCCTTGAATGCAATACCCTTGTTCCCCAATCAGTGCCTCAGTTCATGCTAGCCCTCCTGCCTGGAAAGTCCTTATTCCTGTTCTTTGCCTACACAAATTTGTAAAGGCTGAGGTCAAGTTCCACTTCAATCAATCAACCAGCCACCAGAAAATCATTTAAGTATGAGACTGTGCTAGGTGATGGGGATACAAATTTAAAAAAAGTCCCTGCCCTCATAAACCTTACATCTTATCTGGGTAAAAAACAGGAAGCCCTTTTTAACTATTCCAGTTGCTTTTGAGCTTCTCTAAACTACTATAGTTAGATATCCACACAATAAAATTTAACACTTCATTGTTTTCTCATTTATCCAAGTGTTATCTCCGCCTATCTTCTCCCCCCTCCATATCCCTCCACCCCACCCCAGTCAAACTACAATGTTAAGGTTTTGAAAGCAGAGGTTTCTGTCTCATGGTCTTTGTATTCCATCCAGGGGTAGGGTACCTGTAGCCTTGAGGGCACATGTGGCCTCCTATGTTGTTGGGTGTGGCTTTTTGACTGAGTCCAACTTTTACAAAACAAATCCTTTTATTAAGGGGATTTGTTCTATGAAGTGTGGATTCAGTCAAAGGGCCACACTTGAGAACCTGGAGGGCCACATGTTACCTTCATGACATGGACTGTACTGTCTATGGGGTTTTCTTTTTTTTTTCCTTATTTATTTAGTATTTTATTTTTCCCCAGTTCCACATAAAAACAATTTTTAACATTTGTTTTCAAAACTCTGAGTTCCCAATTCTCTCTCTTCCTCCTTCCCCACCCCCAGCCATCATTGAGAAAGCAAGTCATTCTATATAGGTTATACATGTGCAGTCATGCAAAACATTTCCCCAATTGTATGCCCATAAATTTGAAAATCTTAGTGAATGGAAGAATACTTACAAAATATAAATTGCCCAGATTAACAGAAGAGGAGGTAAAATTCTTAAATAACCCCATCTCAGAAAAAGAAATTGAACAGACCATCAATGAACTCTCTAGGAAAAAATCTCCAAAGCCAGATGGATTTACAAGTGAATTTCATCAAATTCTATCAAATGAATTGAAATATTAATTACCAATTAATTCTATCAAATTAATTAGGGTGGGGATTAATTCCAATACTATATAGACTATTAATTAATACCATGTAGACTATTTGGGAAAATAGGCAAAGAAGGAATCTTACCAAATTCTTTTTATGATACAAATATGATACTGACACCTAAACCAGGAAGAGTCAAAACAGAGAAAGAAAATTATAGACCAATTTCCCTAATGAATATAGATGCAACAATTTTAAAATAAAATATTAGCAAAAAGATTACAACAACTTATTATGAGAACAATACACTATGACCAGGTAGGATTTATACCAGGAATGCAGGACTGGTTCAACATTAGGAAAACTATCAGCATATTGATCATATCAATGACAAAACCAACAGAGAGCACATGATTATCTCAATAGATGCAGAAAAAGCTTTTGACAAAATACAGCACCTATTCCTATTAAAAAACACTAGAGAGCATAGGAATAAATGCAATCTTCCTTAAAATGACAAGTAACATCTACCTAAAATCTTCAGCAAGCATTACATGTAATGGGGATAAGCTAGAAGCATTTCCAATAAGATCAGGGGTGAAAC